CATCTGTTTCCGTAGGTCACAGTACGAGATTTTGGGACACACAACAAAGATTCTGACTCCGACCGCAGTGATCTTGACGGCTGATACAGGGTAACAAGTTCCTGTAGGTACTGAGGAGCTGTTCCATTCAGTGCCTTGTATGTGTATACCAGAATTTTGTACTGCGACCTGTATCGTACAGGTAACCAGTGCAACGAATAAAGCGCAGGTGTGATGTGCTCTCTCTTTCAAAAACGAGTAACTAGCCGTGCTGCAGTGTTCTGAACCCTCTGCAGACGACTAGTTAGTTTGTCAGATATACCACAGAGCAGGGCGTTACCATTATCAAACCGAGAGGTAACAAGTGAATGCACCAAAATCTTGCATGCATCTGCAGTTAGAAACAGCCGAATACAGCCGATGTTCCTGATCTTGTAGTAACATGATTTGGCAATCGCGTTCACTTGTTTCTCCATGTTCAGAGAACTGGCAAAGTATACCCCTAGGTTTTTAACAGCTGGAACAGTCTCAATAGTTCCGGCACCAACCTTGAGCTGGAGAGCCATTGTTTGCTGACACTTTGGGGAAAAGACGATTAGTTCCGTCTTTTCCTGATTAAGTTTAAGCATGTTGGCGTTCATCCAGATACTGATATCTGTCAGACAAGCTTCCAGACTTTCTGAGACTGTATTCCAACTGTCCTGTGGTTTTATGACCATGTAAATTTGTGTGTCATCAGCATAGCAATGATAGCGAAGGCTATGGCGACGACAAATCTCTCCAATCGGTTTGGAGTACATACAATATTTTCGTGGTCCTAACACCGACCCTTGAGGAACCCCGAAATCTAGTACTTTGTCATGTGAGGTGGCAGATCCGATGGCAACACACTGTCGTCGTTCACTCAGGTATGACTGTATCCAGCATAGTGCGGTATCAGTCACTCCATAAGAGTATTCCAGACGTTTATAAAGTATGCCATGGTCGATGACGTCAAATGCAGCTGACAAGTCCAGCATGACAAGCACCGCTCTGCACTTGTTATCCAATGCAGAAGCTATATCACTATGTACACGTAGGAGGGCCGTCTCAGTAGAGTGTCCCATGCGGTAGGCCGATTGCATGTTGTCATGGAGACTGTTTGCATGGAGATGAACCTCTAAACGCCGGGACACAACCTTCTCCAAGATCTTAGACAGAAAAGGCAGATTTGAAACTGGGCGGTAGTTTTTCAACTCCTCCTTGTCCATTCCAGGCTTTTTTAACAATGGTCTGACATGTGCCTTCTTGAAACATAATGGAACCTTTGACTCAACCAATGATTTATTCATGATTGCGGTAATCAAAGGAAGCAGTGCTTCAAGACATTGCTTTAATAGGTCTGTAGGCAGTGGATCAAGCTCACAGGACTTCGATTGCGAGGTCATGATAATGTTGCGCAACTCGTCCTGGGTTGTTGGTGAGAGCTTTGTCAATGGTTCCCCATCAAATGCAATGTCAGCAGTCATGACAGAGATGTCAATGTCAGCAGAGGTGTTCACTTCGGTAATATTTTTCCTGATTGAGCTGATTTTATTCAGAAAGTAATCACTGAACTTGCTTGCTAAGTCTTTTTCAGAATTACAGCTTGGTAGGATAATTTCACCTTTCTGTCCCATTAGGTTTTTGGTGAGTCTAAAAAGTTGTCTTTTATCCTTGCCACATCCTTCGATTTTTTCCGAATAATAAGCCTTCTTTGACTGAAAGAGCAATGAGCCAACTAGCCGACACTGCTCTCTATAAATCAGTTGGTGAACGGTTAATTTAGTCCGTCGCCACTGTCTCTCTGCTTGTCTACGTTTCTGTTTTTCCACGCGGAGATTTTCATTATACCACGGGGCATTTGGTCTCACAGTTATCACCTTAGTTTGCAGAGGTGCGTGTTTCTCTATGAGGGCTTCTATACCAAATGTGTATGCTTCAACAAGATCATCAACCTTGCCTTCAGTAGATTGAAGGGCGGAACAAGACTGAATGTCATTGTTGAAATTTGGTATTGAAATTTCGCGGAATTTCCGGAAGCTCACTTCTTTCCTTGCACGAGCTGGCTTACTACAATTCAGTGTTGTGTGGACAGCAAGATGATCACCAGATTGGTTCCCCTTTACATCACTTAGACATAGATCAATGACTGAGATAGCTCCATGAATGACTGAGTTATCTTCCCTCGTGATGACCACATCCAGTATGTGGCCATGGGTGTGTGTAGCATCTGTCACATGCTGAATCAGACCCCTGGAATCTAGTAGACCAGAGAACTGGCGAGCATCAACATTAGATAGATCGTCTAAGTGGAAATTTAGATCACCCGTGATAATAATCTCTTGTGGTACAACAACTCGGTGGTCTAAAAAGGTAGACCATTCATAAAAAAAACCATATTTCGGAAAGCATTCTGTTTAGATGGTGGAGGCCTGTAAATGATACACAATCTAAATTGTTTATCACCAGCAATGACAGAACAAGTCATGAGCTCAAAGTGTGTGTATACATCATCATGGCTGGAAGAGAGATGTCTCACACTTAGGCCGTTATTAAACAGAACAGCCACCCCACCACCATGTTTGCCGAGTCTAGCATTGTGGTGGAATTCATAGCCTGTTGGTATTAGCTCAGCTAGGACCTGGCCATCGATATCTGAACCTAACCAGGTTTCTGTCAATGCAAGAATGTCAATGTCCTGAGATGTTCCAAAATCCCCGATGGACAATGACTTATTCTTCACTGAACGACAGTTTAAGGACACTAAATTAAGAGGAATAACTGACTTACAGTGACCAGCTGTTGTTGGCTTGATAACATGTAAATTCTCGAACGATACTGATGATGTCAGAATCCGTTTGGAAGTATCGTTACGAGAATGCACAATAGTGTCGATGCCCGATACTTCTGTAAGCGCAGTTTGGCCCTTCAAGAAAGAGTGCGAGACAGACAGACCATTTGTAGTGACCAAATGGATGAGGTTATCAGTATTCAGGCCCAAGTGGGTAAAACCACTGGTTCCGTTTGATTTAACACCGATAACACTTGGTATTCGCCTAACAGCACCCTTTCCTGCCCGTGTCCCACGTCTAGTGCGCAAGTTTTTCTCCAAATTTGATGCCTTAAAATCCTCTAAAAGATGTGTTGTAATATTATGACTCACTAGTCTAAGTACCAGGAGAACAGATCTACTATATTTAAACATATATGAATGTACAACTTCTAGTATTTACAACATAAGAGAAACAAGAACAAACACAAAATAGCAGTACAATAGTACAAAATGTCAAAGAAGATATCTACCAAAAGTTGACACATTTGTGACGATATGTATCTTACAAATCAAAAATATGACGATTCACAAATTTTGTATTTATAATTGAATGTATATATTAACTTTCCAGAAGAAAAACAATAATGTTTCACCAGCAGATGATCGCATTTATATAAGCAAGAATGAACAAAAGCCGTGAGAGGATACCGAGATGGTTTAGATATGTGGGGCCAAATTCCAAGCCCTGATTTTTTTTTTTTTTTTTTTTATTTTTTTTTTTTTTTTTTTTTTTACCACAATGATTATTACAGTTTTTGTGTTATGTAAGTCAGATGTGAAAAAGAATGTTTTAAAAAAATACAAATATGAATGATAAATTTAGTTTACAGACGTCACTTCGTCACAACAAACAACAAAATGTAGACAACTCGCCCAGCGGTTAAAATTCTATCCTCTGACCTAAAATTCTGTCCTAATATCCTTGTCACTTTTTAGAATTTGTTCTTTGTTAATATTCATCTCATAATGAAGAGTAAATGTATTGGTGAAGGTTGCCATCATATCTTCTCGAAATCTCGTAAATGTAAATGTACATGAAATGTTAAAAAAAATCCATAATATAAATGGCTTTTGGATAAAATGACTAAAAGTGGCATAGATTGTTCAAATGAAGAACACATTTTTTGTCCGAAATGCTACATAAGGTATCTGCGCAAAAGAGAATCTGAGACAGAACGTTTTGAAGATGAAACTACTAGAAATGTTCATCTCTTTGCAACCAAGAACCTGTTTAACGGGTCCTATTCACATAACAAATGTTGTCTTTGTTTTAACAATTTGAACTCAACGGGAAGCAAAACTACAACTCTGCAAAAACGTGCCAGGTATACGTTAATTTTCACACACAAATTGTGGTGTTCTGCGTCATCACGCGTATTCTCAACTCTTCTTATTGGCAATGACCTGAGCCCTTGTACACAGGTTATACTA